TTCTTCGCCTCACAAGCTTTCAGTTTCGTGGGTGAAAGCCGGTTCGAGTTTCTCTACGACAAAAGCTTTTGTAGCTCTGTTGCTGCTTTTTTGGTTGTTGGTTGGGTCATGTGAGTGTTGTCCTTACCATCATCATCGTTGCAATAACCATAATGAAAATACCAACAATACGAATAGGCATCACAGCAACAATATTCGTGGTAGTTATTATTGCTATCCTTATCCTTCCCACCAGTGGTATCAGTGGTAGTAGCGGCAGTAGTAGCAGGGGTAGCAGTACTACCCATGGTAGCAGTTGTAGCACTGGTAGCAATAGTGGCCCCCCTAAACCCTAAACCCTAAACCCTAAACCCTAAACCCTAAACCCTAAACCGCCGGAGTAGCAGTTACAGCATCAGCAGGAGTCTGTACTCGTAGTAGTGCAGCAGTCGTCGTCGTCGTCGCCGCCTGCGTCGTCGTCCTCCTCCTCGTCGCAGCCACTGTTCCGACTGTCCGTATGCACTGGCGGCTTTGATCGTCCGAAAGGGCTTCATGTTTGTGAACATGTCAGCGAGCGGAGTCAGGGCAGACAGGAGCAGGGTTTAGGGTTTAGGGTTTGGGGTTTAGGGTTTAGGGTTTAGGGTATCCCGATTCCCTGAGCCCAATCTTTCCGACTGTTTCCACGTTGCTGCACAGCATCCTCTCTTTGATTCTTGTTGGGAGTGGTGCTTTAATTAGGGTTCATGCTCAAATAAGTGCCTACATATTATTTTTCGTAGGGTTCCTTGTTAGAAGTATACTATCAAGGAGCCCGAAACCCTATTCTAATTATTAAGGCCCCTGTATCAGGTAAATCTCAGAAGCCGAAACCCGAAGCACCCTAAACCCTAAACCCGAGCCAGGTATAGCGGGTGTACGCCCGGCGCTGTGCATGAGCCGTTTGAGAAGCTCAGACCTCTCGGGGTTCGCTCCACTGGCCAGTCGGAGTTTTGCGGTTCAGGGGTTTAGGGGTTAGGGTTTAGGGTTTAGGCGTGAGGGTTTAGGGTTTNNAGGGTTTAGGGTTTAAGTTTAGGAGTTTATGGTTTAGGGTGTATTGGCTCCTATGGGTTTTGCTACTGGCCTGCTGAGGTCGCACATTGGTTGTGTGTGTGTATGTTCACGGAAGACTAACTTTCATCTCCGTAGCTGTTATGAGGTTCTCCCTCTTGTTCTCGTGCAGTTCTGGCCTTTTTTAAAATTGCACGAGAGATCCGTGCGGGCTGTTCTAAATCAGCGTTCCTCATATGGTGCCTACTTGTAGGGTCGTACACACAGGACGGTCAAAGGGATCGTTTAGAACAGCCTTCACAATTTCTTCGACCAGTGTATGCAATCTGCAAAGTCTCCCGGAGCACCAGGTGAAAAAGAGGCGACGCCGTCGTGAACCTGGCCGAACGTTTGCACGATCCCTGAGTAGTTGCGAACCACGAGGACCACAACTCGTCAACCCTAAAACTCACGGTCTATAAAGCCCTAAGCCCCAAACATCTCTAGACCAAAGACCCTTAAACCCTAAACCCAAAAACCCTAAACCCTAAACATCTGAAAAAAACCTAAACCCTAAGCCCCAAAAACCCCTGCACCGATGAGATCCTCAACCCTACACCCATACACCCTACCCGAGAACCCTACACCCAGAATACCCCCAAATCCCCAAGACTCCAAACCCAAAAACCCTATACCCTCATAGATCCCTGATGTAAAGCTTTACATATATCCCTGGTGAGGATCAGGGGACTTCGTAGGTCAGGTTATCAGTGCCTAGACTGGGTTAACTATAGATGAATAAGTAAATAAATAAATAGATAAGTAAGTAAATACATAAATGACTAAAAAATCAATCAATCAATAAATAAATAATATATATATATATATGTATATCTCTATCTGTTATAGTTACGTTGTTCATAACCTAGTCCTTATAGACCCCGGTAATCAGCCCTGGACGGAATCCCAGTCACTAAGTCCTACGATCCTTCAAGTATCTAAGCCCTAAACCCTAAACCCTTGAACCCCTGAACCCCTAAACCCCTAAACCCTAAACCCTAAACCCTAAACCCTGAACCCTAAACCCTAAACCCTAAACCCTAAACCCTAAACCCTAAACCCCTAAACCTTAAGAGGCAGCCTCCCGCCGCTGCGCTACAGAAACCTGCGCTGGAGGGCTCGGGCCTCGAGTTTTGCCCTTGGCGTCTTAGGGTTTAGGGTTTAGGGTTTAGGGTTTAGGGTTTAGGGGTTTAGGGGTTTAGGGTCATCGGGGTTTAGGGTTTAGGGTTTAGGGTTTAGGGGTTGAGGGTTTAGGGTTTAGGGTTTAGAGTTGAGTTCAGGGTCTTTCAGAGTTTAGTATTACTGTTTAGTTTAAGGTTTAAGGTTTAGGGTTTGGAGTTTAGTCTAGGGTCTTGGGCATTGGGTTTAGGGTTTAGAGTTTACTTTAGGGTTTAGGGCTTAGGGTTTATGGTTTAGAGTTTAGTTCAGGGTTTAAGGTTCATTGAGGGCCGTGGTGTTTCAGGGGCTTCGCGGTTTGATAGGTGCCTTTAGGGTCCATTTAACAGGCGCTATAGGGTTGTGCGTGGTTTTATATGTATAGGGTTGTATTGTTGTGTTAAAGTAGGCTTCCTTGTCAAGGGTTGTTTTAGCGATCTACGGGTGTTAGGGCTCCGGGTATTTAGGGGTTTAGCGCTTTAAGAGTGTAAGGTTGAGGATAGCTTAGGTTTTTCGGGTTCATGACTGATTCCCCTAAACGCTAAACCCTACACCCTTAACCCTGAACCCTAAACCCTAAACCCTAAACAATAAACTGAAAGCCCTGGACCGGCAGTATTCGGGGCGTAGTCTTGGAATTCCCACGTTTGGATTCAGACTTCGGTCTGTCCGGGTGGAGGATTTATTGTAGGGCTGTGGCACCCACCCTAAACCCTAAACCCTAAACCCTAAACCCTAAACCCTAAACCCTAAACCCTAAACCCTAAACCCTAAACCCTAAACCCTGTGGCACTGCACCCTCAACTTGAAGCCCCAAGCCCTGGGCCCTGGGCTCTAAACCCCCAAAGCCTGAAATCCGAAACCCTAAAGCCCGCAGATGTTGCCTGGCCGGGTGAAGGGCCTTTCAGACGCCTCTCAGCAGGCGGCGTGCAGTGTCTGGAGGTGTGCCAGTTGGAGGGCTCTGAGGAGGTGTGCGGCATGTCTATCCCGACGTCGTACACCATGGCCCAGATGATTGGCCACTTGGAGGATGCTGGCTGCGTGAGAGACAAGAAGGAGTACGAGGCAGTCGGGTGTCGGGCCTTCAGAGGGAACTCAGGGGCGGCCCGTTCCGGGTGATCCCGCGGTGCGTGATCACGCAAGGCTGGGGCAAACACCGCATCATTGACAATGCGGCCGAAGGGGGCCCCCCAAACCCTAAACCCTAAACCCTAAACCCTAAACCGACTCCAATAAGTTGGTCCTTTGCTCCCCGCTGCGGCCGGCCTGAGGGCCACCATCAGCAGGATATCCGAGGTGGTCCCTGAGCCCTAAATGCCCAGCCGCAAGAGCTTATCATCGCAGGGTTTAGGGTTTAGGGTTTAGGGTTCAGGGTGCATCAAACATGTCGTTTTGTCTTCTCAGTTTATTGTAGCTCAGGGTTGTCGGATTGGAGGGTGTTCTTATCTCCTCTAGTCTCTAAGCTCTAAAGAGTCATGGAAAGGATAGGTGTGTTATCTTTTGGGCATGCCGAAGATTCTTCGTCAGTGTTTGATTTCCATTGCGTAACACTGAAATGAAACTTGTCGTGGTATACATCGCATCACAGCTGCGGCTTCTCCTCCTGCTTCTGCTGGAGGCTGCCACTTGTTTCTTACTGCTAGTTGTTTATTATATTTATGTTAAGTACTTACTACTGCTGTTGCAAACTGCGACTGTGACGGCAACTGCGCGAACCCCGAAATGCAGAACCTCAACACAAACCAAGCCCGAAAGCCTAACCCTGAACCCTAAACCCTAACCCCAAACCCGAAACCCTAAGCCCTAAGCCCCGAACTCCCCTAAACCCCAAACGCCTCGCCCGAAACCTTCGTATAAGCTGCACCTGAGCCCCGAAAACCCAAGTGTGAGACCAGGCTTGGAGTCCAATGCAGCGCAGGTGCGGCGCTGGGTTCGGCCTTCCTGCAGTACTTGCGGGTTCATGGGTGGTTATAAGTGGGGTTATAGGGTTCCTTTAAGGGTTCTGTAGGGTTTAGGGTTTAGGGTGGTTATAAGTGGGGTTATAAGTAGGGCAACTGTAATTATAACCCATATTAGGGGGCTTATAACCCCATTTATAACTACCCATGGACCTCCAAGTATATTATGCTATGCTATACTAGTCTAGAGTATACTATACTATACACTATACTATCCTAGACTATATTCTACTACTACTGTACTATACTAATGCTGTACTATACTATACTATTCGTTACTCAGCTGCACTTTTCTAAGCCTTACGGTACTAGCATTTTTTGCGAGCCCAGAGGTCGTGAGAGGTTTTCGGACACCCGAAATCATGATTTAGGGGTCGGAAAAGTTAGTGAGTCATGGTTGATATCCCCTCATAGTCCCTGTGTAAGTATACTGCAATCTACCCCAAACCCCTGTTGAAATATATGAAAGGCCCTAAACCCAAAGGCCCCGGTTGAACATTATGAAGGCTCCTGCAGTAGCATGCTTGGTCTTGGGCTTCTCGGGTTTAAGTTTGGGGTCCCGGTCTCCATGGTGTAGCGATTTCTCCAGGTCCGAGGGTGTGTCTTTGGGATTCGGTTTTCGGTTTAGGGCCAGCCCTAACCCCAAACCTTTCCTTAAACTCTAAACCCTAAGCCTCTAAGACCTCTAAACCCTCAAAAACCTCTAAACCCCTAAACCCTAAACCTTAAACCCCCAACCCTAAACCCTAAACCCTGAACCCAACCCTAAACCTGAGCCCGGGAGTTCCGTCGAGAAAGAAGATCCTAAAGCCGAATTTCAAGGCCAACGGACTCGCGGAGGCTCCAAAGGAGGAGGGCCGAAGTGAGAGCAAGGACGGGGGTGCGGGGTCTCTTTGAGGGCTCCGTTAAGGGTCTCTTTAAGGGTTCCTTTAGGGGTTCCTTTAAGGATCTGATCTAAGGGTCTCTTTCCAGGATTCCTTTACGATTTCCCATAAACCCTGAACCCTAAACCCATAAACCTTAA